GGGGAAAAAAAAAGTAGAAAAAGAAAAAACAAATGGGGGGGGATAAGAAATAAATTAGATTTTAGCATCGTTTCTACCCAAGCTCACAATAATGATGTCATGTTAAGCGCTAAATCAGCCTTCTTCACCCTCTGTTTTCCTTGTACAATATAGACTAAAATTACAAAATGGTCATAATGTTCTGAATCTCTATTACTCTTTCACTACATCTTTTGTAGTTAAAAAGTTTCAGAAAATTTCTGTTTGAGCTTCTCTTTTCTATGACATAAAAAGTCCACTGAGACTCATAAATCCTAATGCCATTTAATCAGTCTGAAAAATTTTAATGAGCTCTCACTAGATTTGGTACAGAGATTATTCGTAACTATGGGATCAATTAATTAATTACAAATGGAAGAAACTGCAAAGAAATAATGTTTTAAATTAAGGTGATGATTTACATCACTTAGAACTTTTTAAATAGAACAGATTGACTCTTCGTAAGAGAGTTATGACCACTTGTATCACTACAATCTTTTCCTCTTTTAAAACAATGGATATAAATGGTATTTGTTTGTTTTAAAATTATACTAATAGTAGGGTCCTTTATTTTAGCGAAAAGCTATAGGCAAAACAACCAAAATGCTGGAAAGAAAGGCATTGAACTGCCACATCCTCAAGTAAGTAAATAACCAATTTATGTGTTTTTACTGTCATGAGCATAGAGGAAGTATGTATAAATGCTTACATGGGAATGTCTGAAACCCTCTGAGTTAAAGCCATATTTGAAATAAATTTCGTAGCACAACACTTTTGTTACTGTGAAACAAAATTGCTTCAAGACAACTTTGAAAAGTTATATTTGAGATCTACATATCGTATAAACAAATACACACAGAAACACACAAACAGCAAGTAGACTAATATTCTAATATTTATAAATTCTAAAAGCATGATTTTAAATAATTTGAGCCCTTTAAACCATAATGGAACAGTAAAATATTGTTTAGTGAAAGCAGATTTGTTTGTTTATTTTTTTTCCAGATCAAATCAGTGAAGTGTATCACCGAATCCCAGGACGACTGAGGCTGGAAGGGACCTCTGGAGCTCATTTGGCCAAACCCTCCTTCTCAAGCAGGACTGCCTAGAACCTGTTGCCCAGGCCCATGTCCAGATGGCTTTTGAACATCTCAACATGGTAGACTCCACCACCTCTCTGGGCAACTTCTGCCAGCGCTCAGTCACCCTCACAGTAAAAAAGTGCTTCCTTGTGCTCAGACAGAGCCTCCTATGTTGGTTTGTGTCCATTGTCTCTGGTTCTGTCACTGAATACTACTGAAAAGAGCCTGTTTCTGTCTTCTTTACACTCTCCCTTCAGGTATTTATATACATTAATAAGATCCTCCTAAGCATTCTTTTCTGTTCATCAGCAAACTGCCCCATCAATCAGGTCATTTAATGAAACATTAAACAGGACTGGACCCAGTATTGACCCCTACTTATAGGAGCGCTTCTTGTCTTTGACATCCCTTGGCATATATAGCTGAATTTACCAAATTTCACAGTAGTGTCATCAATGAAACTTCAACTGCAGCACATTTTAATGGTTTTCTTAAAAGGAATTCTCATTGAAAAAATTTAAAACATAGTAAAATACTAAGTAACTAATTCTAGAAAAACATGAAGCAACTTATTTTCCAAATTATGATCATATAAAGGTAGGAAAATAATAAAAAACCCCAAACAAAAATAATACTTTGAAAGATTTTTTCAATTGTCTAAATAAAACGTGAAAAAAAAACCCACAGTGTTTTGAACATTATGGCCTCAAATTTCTACAATGTTCAAACACACACTGTTTCTACATTTGTAGAGCTCCAGCTGGTTTTCTTACGAGTTGCATCTGTGTATTTAAGAGCAGAATTTGGCATATATTTAAAAACAAAAATAACTGAATTTTAGTAAAAGACAAAATTTCTAGTATTTAATCTGCAGATGACATTTCGGTTACCCGACCGATGTAATTAATCACTCATACTACAGTGCATTGTTACTAGTGTTGGAAGTTCCTATGAAACTTCGTGCATCACAAGATAGTAAGACCTAGGTTGAACTTGCAGGATGCATCTTGTTTGACATTCCTATGCTATGGTTTCATCATTATGCTTTTTAATTAACCAAAGACTGCAAAACAAAAAGTTAGCATTTAAGAAATTCCCAGATGGACAATTAGGATATCCTTCAATAATAGTAAAGAAGACATCATATCCATTTTTTTATCATTTTAGCACTGCCTACTTGTAGAAGTATGCCTGCACAGCAACACTCACAGCCTGTTATGCCAGTACAGCTAAATTCTGGATTTGGCCTTCTATGGCTACGTTGTATTTTTCGCTTTTCGCAGCGGTGAAGTTTTGAAGCAAATCTGACAGTCCTCAGTTACTAATAAGTAGTTTTGGTGTGTACTAGGTTGCTTTAGCAGGATGCTAAAGTGGAAGTCCTCTCCAGGTGCTTATCAAGCAATCTCCAATGCTTAAGCAGACAAAATTCCAAAGAACCTTATACCTGTACCTTTCAGCTGCGGATCAGAGTAAACCTAATCCAACAGAAAACATTTAAATCACATACAGCACAGATGTATGGATCTAAGCAGCAAATACATTGCTCTAATAATCTGTTTCTCTTGAGTCCAATGACTTGCTTATGCTGACGTTGCCTGTATCTCCTGATAATTCTGCTCCAAACTTGCATGTTATAGAAATCCAAACCCCCTCTATTAGTTCACCGCTTGGGACTAAACACTGCAGATGCCATCACTACACTGCAATTGGTCATGAATGTTTCAGATCGTTTTGCATGTACTGTTTTGATTTTCTTTTTCTTGAGAGTTCTGTGCTTGTGCTAAATTCCCACGCTTCGACATTTGTGACTTTTGTAGATGGAACAAAATTAAGTTCAGCTGAACTATATGCACTAAGGGAACTCTGAATGCTCTTAAACTTCTTATAAAGGAAAAGCATGGGTTCAAACATTTATGCCCTTCTTCAAAGAAAGGTTAAAGAAAATAACTATCAAAACTACGAAGAACACACTGAAATTTTGCCTTTCAAGTTTAAAATTTTTAAGTGTAATACAGATGCTATTATCTTCAAACACTTTTTCATTGTTAACACAGCTAAGGTTACTTACTGCTGAATAAATAAAAATACCTACAACACAGTGTCACTATTTTATTGGTTGTTGCTCGGTTTTGTTTTTTTTTAAATGATGTTGTCCTTTTTAATTATTACCACCTTGTGACTTTTCTGAAATAGACCTAAATAACCTAAGAGCTTTGGGAAAGCTGTCCTTCTGGATATTACTATTAGGGTCCTCATATGAAATAATGGTTTAATTTGTCATTAACACAGTTGATATTCAACTTCCTTAATTCAATACCAGTTATGAATCAGCTTTACATAAATTTTCAATACTTTATGCTCTTTTACTTTCAGAATTACAGAACACCTTACAGCCACACCTCCATCCAATTGAAAAGTATTCATTGCACATCTCTCATTTTGTTTCACAAAAAACACACCATACATTACAGGAACATACCCTGGTTTTTTTGTTCCCTGGACATATAGTTAAGCAAGAAAGAATAATTTTATATGAAAGCCAACAGTAAGCTGTGGTTTAAGCTTGTTTTCAACTCCCCTCTGACTCCCTCCAAAACCTTAGGTTGCTTCCCGACATTTGCTCTCAATTGAATATTAACAAGTTCAAAATTCACAACTACTTGACTCGAAGGTGAGATTTACAGCCTCGCTGCTCAGATTCATCAACATTTGCAATGTACCATACAAGGTCTACTCAGACAAGCACCTAACATGTCCATACAACCGCCATCCATGAACATGATCGCGTACATTTGGTGTATCCTTTCTGAACATCTAAGTTTCCCCATAAAACTGATGCATGTACACAGGATGTGAAGAGAATTTGCAACAGGAAAAAATCTCAAAACCAAAAACCAGTTTAGTTAACACTGTTCATAAACAGTGCATCAAACTTATTTCGCTTTGTATTCCCAGGCAACACAAATACCATTTAGACTCTAGGTGAGAACTTGAAGTATGAAAGGCTGAAGAACCTTAGATAATAACTCCGTATGTATTTGTGTAATCATTATTTCCTCAATAATCCTACTGAGAAAAAAAATAATCACAATCTAATCCATCTAAAGTTGTTCCTTAAAAATTAGTATAAAATGTATTTTTTTTCAGTAATGAAATCCCAAAACTTCAGAACTTATGTTCCACTCAGGACAGACAAGAAGTCAGAAAAATATTTTAAGGAGAAAGACAATTTAATTTAAAATTAAAGCAAAGACATTATTTTAACTATCTCTCAATTTATTTTTCAAATATTCTCCCTACAGATTTCTATTTCAGGGTCAAGTTTGGAAAGTTATATGTAAGAGAGAGAAACTAAACATCTCTGCTATGTGAGAAAGATTGCTCAAACAGATCGGATTTAAATCAGAAAATAAGAATTATGACCTCAGAGATTTAAAACGCAAGAGGAAAGAGATGGCTTAGGAAAAATATATGCCCTTTTTACAAACAAGTATCGTTACTGTTTAGACACTTAAGAGGTAAATCAGCCATGAATGTATGAAAAATAAACTGATCTATGTTTAAATAACTGTTTCCAAACTTTGAGTAGTGAAGTTGAGCTTGCAGATTTATGCATAGAGCGGAAAATCATTACACTTTCCTATTGCTGCACACTACCATGTAGTAAATCAGAGCAATCTGCATTACAGGCATTATATGTAGTGGAGGAAAAGGATGCTTTCCAACAATCTCTTGCTTCAACAGCATAAACATCTTTGAAAATAAAGGTTGCTGATTTTTAAAGTGTTCATATGAAATTTTAATCTAAGGATTTATCACATTAAATAATAAATAAATCCAAGTACAGCCCAAACAGAATATTCCTAACTTTTCAGTGAATTTGTTTCCTTCCCTTCTTACCTTCTCTGGAGGTGCTGGAGGGTGAAATCTCTTTGCACAAATGAGAAATGCATCAGGCTCTGGCTTGCCACACTTCACCTCTGGGTCATCGCCCAAAACAATATGATGAAAAAGACCAAAGAAGTCTTTGTGTCTGGCTGTTTTCATCTTAAATGTCACTTCAGCTGAGCTGGTGGCAACAGCCATAGGTATGCTGTGTTTGTGCAAATGACGGATCAGCTTATCAACCCCTGCAAGACAAATATATACATTTTATTTTATATATATGCATATATATAGGTATATGTATTAATATTTATACCTACTTACAATACATTTAACATTATTTCAACAATGTTGTCTTACTGAATACAACAACCTATTTCAATCAGTTAGTGTAGAGGAAAATTCTTGCTATATCTGAAATGTTCCTTCTCCACACAAAAATCATGGAATATTCCTCAAGGTATATACTTGTTCTGTTGATGCTTTTCTCAAAAGATGTCAAAAATGGGTTCAACAACATCGCATAAGTGCACTCACTAGAAGTTCATTAAGCAACATCCCCAACATTATGTATGTTTATTATTTCAACCTCTCTGTAAATGAGAGAAAAGCACACAGGAGAACATTTTCTTTTATACAGTTATGCTCCTAGGGAAAAAAAAAAAAAAAAATCAAAGTCAAAGAAATATACTCTTCTTACTGAATGGTATAGTTTTAATTTCTGAAGCAGGTATCCAACTGGCTTAAACCACCCCTTAAGAGAGCTCAGTTTCTCTCTTCTGCAGTTACTAAAGCAAGTAACCCTGGGCAGAGGAGGGGAGCTGTCAGTCACAGTTGTTAATACCAGAGCTTTATCAATTGATGCCGTGAACCCAGAGTAATGAACACCTCAAGCCTAATAGGTAGAAACTTCAATCTGATCCAGTCTTCTAGGGAAGGTTAATGCAGGCAACAGAGAAAACACAGCAGTCTGTGTAAGAGGAGAAACATTCTTCATTATTCAGCGCAAGTTTTGAGTTTCCTATGCAGAGATTTCAATGCTTCATTGCTGAAGCATTCTAAATGCTGGATACCTCTCCTAGACAAAATAATTACCAGTGTCTAATGGAGAACAAGAGTGGACATCTGGTTTTTACCAATTCACAAGAGAAAATCCCTCCATATCTGTAAAATCATTGCAGCTCTGCTTCTTGGCATGAATCCAAACCATGAAGCACAAAGGATATTAGTTACAGGTAGATAAGTCTCCATTTTGGCTGTTGGAACCAATTTGAGAACAATCCATTGTTTGCACCTTCTAACTGCATGAATTCTTATCCTACTTCCATGCCTGGCTATACTAAAGTAATCTTATTCCCCTCCTCCTGATTCACTGTCATACTTATGTCTACTCCTTCAAAACGTTTCTACTCCCCATGTCCATTTAATTATTTCCTTTGCCACCCCAGAATCTCTGATTTGCATTTCCCAGGTGATCCAGGCTTTCTGCTCCATTGCTCCATTTTAACAATTCTATAAACAATAATCTTGTCTACAATACATTTTTCCCCAAGTATAGACATATGCTCAACTTCGAGAAGTTATAATTACTACTGAATTAACTAACCCATGTATCTGGAAATATGATCTGTAGATGTGGCTCTCTGCAGATTTCTTCTCTCTTCTCTAGAATCTAATCAATCAATTAATAACTGACATTTCCAACTCCATGCTTGTACTTGAAGACAGCTTTTACATTATAAATACATGCACTTCAGTGATGTTAGATTTCCAGCTGGACAGAAATAACAAGTGTTATTCCTCCTCTAATGTCATTGCATCACCCATTTAAAAGCCTTCCTATGCCCCCTTAAATAGTTATACTAATAACAAGCAAGTGCATTTTTTTCCCAAATGATGCTACTCTGCCCTTTCGTATTCAATTCCATTGGAATTCCAATACGATGCTACATACAAGTTAACTTTTTATTCCAGAGATTATGTCTTCATTCTGAAATATGTGAAGCAAGTCCACATTAATTAATGGAAGTACTAAGATCTCTTAATATAAAGCAGTAGCCTAAATGTCCCTTTTTTAAAATAAAACGCATTCAAAGGAATGTATTCTAAATAATCTGCAATATTTAGCAAGGCTTGCATATTGCGTGTGTAGTAATATAAAGAAGTAGTTTAAAGATTACACAAGTAAGAAGACTTTTCCTATCTCCTATGCCCTTGCTATGATATAGTTAGATTTCTCTAAAGCTGTGCTCTTTTCAAATAGCTAATTTTCTTCAGTCCCACTGCATCACAGCTTCAGTTGATCTGTCACAGAATATGTTTAGTCTACGTTTCTATTTGAGGTAGCCAGCCACAGAAAAGCACTGTTACAGAAAGGTTATTTCTTCAGGGTTCTCTCTTTTATTCCCCCAGCACATGTCATGATTTTGCTGTGTAAATATGTTTGTGTGTGTGTGTTTGTATTTACCTCCTCTTTTTGGTTTCCCTCACTACAAAGGAGCTAAAATGTAGCTGTCCCTATTAGCTCCAGAGAATAGAGATTTAAATTATTCAGAAAATGCACTTTAATAAAAATATGACATTAAAAAAATATTATTTATATATGTGTAAACATAGGAAGATAGATTAGAAAACAAAACGCAAGGGAAAAATCAGCTGCATGGAAAAAAATTAAATTGCATACGGAAGAATAGCTAGCACAACTTAAATAGCTCAGGACAGTAGCAGTTGAAAAATATTTTCATTCCAGGTTTGTTATTTCTTGGTAAAAGTAATAGATCAAGAAAATCAATTTTTGTTTGCATCAATTACCATCAGTACAGCTCTGACACTTTGCCACTACATCAAATTACTGACACAATTATTGTACTAATTCAGTATATAATTCTTCATTAGGAAGATAATATGCTTCTTAGTATCTTTCTTGTGGTTTTTTTTTTTTACAGAAAATGTCACCAGAAGGGAAAGTGGGGAACTGCTTTAAAGATCTGTAAGAAACTTCCCTTGGCATACGCTTTGCCTTATAACCCCTATAGCTACACAAATTTTTCAATCGAATGAAACTTCAGTTACATCAAAACCGACTAATTAAAAACTCAATGGTTATGGAGAAGTATGGTGAAAATTCCTGTGAACTCACTAACTTCCAACTTACTTATAGTTACCACGTAAGGGATCGAGGCCAATCCATCACAGTGAGACCTATCTGCTAGGTTTCCTGGGACCATCCTCCACCCCTCCTACTGAAAGCTTAGCCACATGCAGCGAGTTCATAGTTTTTTTTTTTTGTTTTGTTTTGATTTTTTTGTTTGTTTTTTTTTTCTCTCTTTTAGCATCTTTAATTAAAAACAAAAAATAAAGAAAGATCAAAAGAATACAAAAGCTTACTATATTCTAAATGTAACAGTTAAACACCAGTGATGACTGGAAAGAAAAATAGGTGAAAAGAATTGTAAGCTTTGTAAGCTGAGTTTAGTTACAGAAGCCAAAAAAGAAGAAAGACCAACTTTAAACGTCAGCATCTTTAAAACCTGATTAATCACAAATGTCTACGAAATTAACAACATTGGGAAAAGAAAAAGGAAAGTAACTAAACCAACAGAAAGACATTATTTCTTCTGAGACCATAGACACATTTCAAAGGAACAGATAAGCACTTTTGTTCTGAAAGTTGCAGAAAAACATTTTTATATATATATATACACACATATAAAATTATTTTTATTTAAAGGCAGTATTATTTCTCCATTAGATGGTCAATGTGCTGTTTATTCTCTTTAGATTCAGCTGAAACCACGGTGACTAATACATTGGATCAACTGACAAACTAAAATTAAGACTTATACCGAACAACAAAACCCTTGGGCTAACTGTCACATTTTCCTTTCAATTGACTAATACAAACATGTACAGTAATAGTTCAAGAAACCAAATAATGCTAAGTTAAAATGATCTAACGATAGTCCCTATCTAATTATTTATATGCTATTACAACACTGTTCTCTACATGATTTTTTTTTTCAGTTATCACATTGTATAATCAAATGGCATTATTCATTATGAAGTGAAAATTAACAAGACATAAATCCTGAGAGCTAATTCAAATTGATGAAAAACAAAGGGAATTTCTTTTCCTTTTAACTTTATACAAACATGAGCTCTGTGGAATTACAGAATACTTCAGAACCGTGAAGAACAAATATATTTTTGCTATGTTTTATTTGATATACTTTCAAATTTCTGTACCATCTCTTTTGTTGTGTTTGTCTACCACTGAAAGGAACACTCAACTTACATCCCTTCTGGAACTCCAGATTCAGACCTATTTCTTGTGAAATGCCTCCAGACAAATAACGACATAATATAGAGCTCTTCTATTTTCTTCTAATATTAAGTCTCCAACCAAAACTTCTGTCTTACAAAGCATTTTTTATTTCTCTCTTTTCCTAAAGTGAAATTTCTATGAACATGTTATAGTAGACTATAAGAACGCTTTTCAAGATAGAAAAGAAAGTGATCTCCATCATAAACTGGGCAAACATAAGACAGAAAGGAGGATTATTCATGCCGTTTCAGCACTGAACCACAATTTCAGTTTCCTCTGTGCACCGGTTGAAGGATTTCTGGTGTTCATGTTTCTGCTTACAGTCAATTCAGTTGAAGGCATAACTACACCATCAGGTAGACAACTACACACTAAGCTCTATCAGTACCTTAACCTGAAAAATCCACTGTTTGATAGTTTCATAAGCACGGACAAAGTCCTACAGTCTTATGGCTTCAGGAATACAGCTGGCTTGTGTACCACCAGCACAGAGTGCAGGAACAAAGTCACAAAAATGTCCAGGCCTACAGAGACAGTCCCATTGTCTTTTCTCATGTGTGTTTCAATCCTAAAAAGATGAACACATGCTATGTAAGAAAAAGATGAATGGCAGGAAGATAAGGCCTTCTCTTAAGTAAAAGCATACATTTTAAACAGGACTACAAGGTTAGTATCCTGAAATTTACAAGTTAGCTTTTATGAAAGTTAAGCTTCAAAATTGCATTACAGGAGCTCCTACCTATCTGAGAATGCCTCAAATAAACAAACGGTAGCATTTTCAGTGGCAAATCGTTTCATGAACATCACAGTGTACCACACATCATACACATTAACACCTTATACTCTTCCAAATGAGTGTTGTCCTTATTCAAATAATTACAGTGCTGGACATCTAATAATCAGAGAAACAGTATAATGTAGGATTACTTTAGTTCAAGATAGTAAATAATGAAAAACAACCCCACAAAACAAGCAAAACGCCATAAATACAGCATATTCCTTATACTTATTAAATGCAAGCGTCAAGAGGCCAATGAAATGAGGTTATATTGTGGAGCTTCCACAGATTCTGCCTGCTCATTTTCACAGTCAAGGGGAAGTTCAAGCTAAACTATTACAGAAAGCTAAAGGCTACATGTATAGAAATGAGAAAAGGTTTAGATAGACTTCAAATGATTATTTTGTGTCTTCCTCTTCATAGTTGCTTTTTCAGAAGGCAAATATGTGAACTCAAAAAAAAATCCCACTCAGAATAGCAAATGGGTACTTCAAAACTGATACGAAGATGACTTTCTATGCCTCAAAGCTTCTCCACAGTCCAGTTAGTTTAATGAAAGATATTAGTTCTCATTTAAAACCTTCTTTCACATAGGCCTTAAATCATTATGATTATAGTAACATTACTGCTATCCACAACTGCTGTGTATCCTTTGACATAGTTTTGGGGACTACAGAAATACTTTAGAAAAAACGAGTTATTTAGGACACTTACTCAATTGTCTTATTGCCCTTCCCAGCAAGTTAATGGTTATTTGATCATTTATCCAGTTAAATTCATGTGCTGTTCTTATTTTTGTCTGTATTTTGTAATCACAATATGTAATTTGGTCTCCCGTTAATTTAATTGTTGAAAAGATTTTAATTCTCCTTACTTCAATAAACTGTACAGGTCACTCTCATTTGAAAATTTAATCATGAGTACTATTAGTCACATTTATTTATTGTCAATTTTAATTATAAGCCAAAGGAATGACTTTCTAAACTTTTTGATATGTGCTGCTTTGAAAAATGGGGTGGAGTATTGAAATATGCCACGAAGTTCTTTTTAATGGAGAAAAAAAATATATTTCATGGGAAACTAAAACTTTTCCTATGTCTATTTTATTTTATCTACAGATGCTTGAATTTTCTTGGACTTTTTTTTTTTTAAATCTGAGCTTCTTATTCTCTTCCAAAAAATATTCTTTTTGGATCACATTTGACCAGTCTGTTAATCTACTACCTCTTTTAACCTGCTTCCCGTTTTCTTCACCAGTGTATGTATATGTTTTGTTTCTCTTCCCCTACCACACTTTTGGAGCTCATCTACACTATATAGCCAGTGCTAATTGTCCTGGTTTTAGCTGGGACAGAGTTAGCTCTTCTTTTTAGCAGCTAGAAGAGCTCCGTGTTTTGGTTTTACTCAGAGGCTTGCTCTGAGAAGAATGCTGATAGCAAGTTGATGTTTGTGGTTGGACGTGAAATTCCAAGGACTTTTCAGTGTGCCGGAGTGCAGAAGCACGGTGGAATAAGGGGGGAGCATAGCCGGGACAAGGGGGACACGATTCCCCTTGTGATTTGTGGTGGAACTTAAGACTGAGGGCCAAACTGGCCAATTAGTATTCCATATCATGCAGCGTCATGCCCAGTATAAAAGTGAGGGCCAGCCAGGAAGAAGGGCTTTTGTACTTTGGCTCTTTCGCCGCTTTTGCTCTTTTGCGCTTGCTGCGCTTTTGCTCTGTTGCCTTTTTTCTCTCTCTCTCCCAGTACTC